TTGCAGCTCAGGCACGTAGTCAGCCTCCTCTTCCTCCTCGTCCAGCTCATTGAACACCTCCTGCTCACTTAGCGCCGCCTTCTTCTTGGCCCACGCTTTTTGCAAATCGCTCATTTTGAGCGGTCAGGTCGTCGTTGCTGTCTCGTCATTTGGTGCCGCTTGCAATGATTTAGAACCTATCCTGTCGGCCAAGGAAACCGGCGTGAGTAGGGAAATGTGAAAACACTGGCGGCATGCACTCAATGGTTCTGCCTAGCACATTGTTATCGAGAGAGAGGAGAGCTAGCGCAAATTTCGGTGTGGACCGGACAGCAACCAACCCCTAAGTGCAGGTCAAGTGTTGGTTGAAGTTGAAGATGGTACATGGCACCAACGTCAGGCCAGGCGTAAATGGATGCGAGGTATACCGTATACTACCAGCTCTCGTACTGTGGAATCAACTGGCAGCCAGGTACTCGCTCGCACAGTTTTTCGTACTGTGTTTTCTCATGAGCTGGCATCAGTCATCAAGCGATCTTCAGTTGCCTATGTAACAAAGCTACTCGGAAGGAAATGTTGCTTTCAGTAAGGTTATGCCTGTCTGCATAGCATGATCATCGAGAATTTCGCATCACAAGCTAACTTTTGAAGAATTCACTGCAGAAAATGGTGTGTAGCCTCTTGCAGTTGACTGCGATGGATGAATGATGCCAAATTACCGTCCCCAACAGACTAATGCAAACCATACTAATGCAAATAAATAGAACGATACTGGCGCCTCGTATCAACATTGAGTGATCCTCTTTATCCTCTTTGCGTGATATAAAGAGCCTCCCGCATATGTGGCGTAAATTTCGTTGTCTAAGCCTCACCTCCGAACGCCAATAATGCAAATGATTGTCCAGACTTCCTTATGTGATTTGGAGCCTTCTTCCAGTCAAAGTAGGGTCACAATCAAGCCGAAAGTGCTACCGCAGGCTGCACTGGCTCAATCTCGGTGATTCCCTGGGCTGTCTGCTCCTCTACAACCCTTTGGCGCTTGGCTGAGCTCGTCACTTCTTGAGTGTCATCGCTCTTCCTTTTTTCTATACTAGCAGTTGTTGTCATCGTCGTGCTCGCAGTCGCAGTCGCAGTCGTAGTGGTGGCTGTAGGCTGCAGCTTGGCCTGAGGATTTGGGTCTTTCGTGATGCCAACCGCAATATCCGCGGCTTTGGCTCTCTCTGTGAAGTCGTCCAGACCCAGAGTGTCGCAGACGGCAGAGTAGCTCTTGCAAGTCTGCAAAAGCTGGTACGCAGGCTTCTTGCCCGGAACAAGCCGGCTCAGCACGTACTTGGTATTGCCGTACTTGTTTTCGCTGTCCATTGTATATTCCATATACTTTGAAACAACCTCCTGCCAGGGCGCCAGGCCACCGTCGGCCTGGCTTCTGAAGCAACTTGGGTTCTTCTCGGCCGCAGTCGCAATCATAGCACCGTCGACACCGAATTCTTCGACCAATTTCTTCGCTGAGTCGCGATCCTCGACGTCGCCGTTCATCAAGCATGCCACACCAGCCTCGCGGCAAATGTCCGCAACCATCTTCAGCTGGCCTCGGATAGCCTTCTCGCGTGGTCTCATGGGCGTGGTCCGGCAGTGCACCGTCAACGCTGTGATACCCGTCGCAACGAGTCTGCGTACCAGCGCCTCTGTCTCAGCGGCCGTCTCCAAGATCCGTATCTTGACACTGATGCCGATCTGAAATTCCGGGACGATCTCCTTGACCAACGCTTCTAATATTGAAACGAGCTTGTCCGGTGTCTTGAGCAGTGCTGCACCCATACCGTCGTGTGTGCTAAAGGGCTTGGGACATCCGGCGTTGACGTCGATTCCAGCAACGTCTGCAGCAATGATGCGCGCCGCGGTAACAGCTCGTTCTGGGTTTGCAGTGCCGATCTGGAAAATGTGTTTGCGACCTTCAAGCTCGGGATGCAGGCGGTAGATGATGGACTCCCTGGCGTTGACCGGCGTATGTCTATGCGCATAGGACGGGTTGCGGATGAAATCGACGGTTTTGGTAGTCGGGTTGACGACTCGGGTCGTGCCTATCAAGGAATAGTCGACAGTCTCGGGGCCTGGAGATTGAGTTTAGATAGATGTCAGTATCATACATCCTGCGATGCTGGAGGGCATCGACAAAGACTAACCCCATACCAAATCAGCGCCGTAGTGCAGCGCGAGCAGTCGCAAAGGCATCTCGCCTGTGCGGACCATTGGCGCCAGGACAAGCTTGCCCCGGTAGTCGACTCCCTTTGAAGGAATTGGCACCATTTTCGAGGTTACTTCAGCCATGATGGACGACCTGAGGGCACGGGAGAGCATCACCGTCCTTGATTGCAGGAAGGGCTGATTGTCGAAGCTGTTGGGGAGTGGCAAGAATCAAAAAGCTGGACTTGCAGGTTGCGCCTGGACAATTTGGGAAACCCCCCGGGTCCCGCTTCAGGGATTACGGAACTTTTACAGCCCGGGATGAAGAATCTCTTCTAGAATCACAACTCCGAGTGTATTTCTCGCTGGTCCGAACCACGAATTAAGCAGCAAGAGACCGATAATTCGATACATGCTTGAGATCCCTGAAGACTAGCTTGTCGACGAAATCGCATAAGATCTAAAATCGCAAATGGGGTTCGCATCAAAATGTGCTGGTTTCTCTACGTCAAATTCCGAGTACTTAGGTACAGCTCTGAATTGAGCCGCAAGGGTCACCCCAGCTGCTTCCCGGCCCGGGCCCGTCGAAGGCAGCAACACCACCGATATGCCTTTACTCAAGCATTCAACATTACAAGAATATATCGCCGGGGGGGGGGGAGGAGGAATATGACTTAGTCGTCATACTTCTAGATGACTTGTAGCACGAGGCGGAACAATATTAGGCCTTTGAAAGAACGCTAGCGAGCAACCTCAACTATATCTTCTTCATCTTACATTCAGATAAAGATTGAGGAAGCAATTAAATATGTCAATGTGAATTGCGCATGGTGGGAAATGCTGGAGGATTTTTTGTGCCCGTGATACAAATGTATCAATGTGACTGGTAGTGCCCTAACCGGAGGTTCTCATTTGATGTGATCAATTCCTATTTCGATTCAATACCGATTGTGTTTCTTTTCTATGACCTGAAGCAGCGAGGAGCCTTTGAGTAGTGTAGTTAACTTCCTTTTGAAAGCCTGCTCAAACCTCAATCATATCTAGGTAGATTTTTTAGAACTCTGAATGGGTGAGTGGTTAGCATTGAGGATTTAAGCATATCAGATCAGCCACTGCAAATTGATGACGCTTACCAAAAGACAAGCAGCCATCACGGTTCATGATTCTCTCGGTGAGGTTGATGTCGCGCTCCTCCCATTCTCCATTCTCTCTTCGAAGTCTGGCACGCAGGATGGGCTGGTCGCCCTCGAACTCGAAGCGGATTTCCTCAGCCGACTCAGAGAAGTCTAGATATTGCAAGTTAGCGCGATGTATATTCTTACGTGGCTCAAAAGCCAAGTAGTCTGGGCTCTTTCTGATGTTCAAGTCCTTGATTGGGAGTGACGGTGAAAGGTGAGGGTGATATTAGGAATGTATCAGGGGCCAGCAAGGACTCAAGACTTACTTCCGGCACCCCATTGGAAGGACCCTAACGGTTGGTCAGTTTAACATTCTAAAGTCACAAAAACATCCATTGAACATTGATAGCTTACCGTCTTCGTTTCCAATGCAGCTGTTCAGATCAATCTCAGATTCAACAAATTCACCATCCGCCCTGGCAACGCGGCACCGGAGGATGTGGCCATTCTCAACACGGCAGCTGTCAATCTCGCAGGAATGGTGGAAATTCGACATTGTGGTGGATGGACAAGTCTAGACTGGGAAAAGGCGTGTTGTAAGAACTTTCTGAATGATCAATGATAAATGGTTTCGGTTAAGGCTGAGGCTATTTGACTGTACACGCGAGAGCACAAAGGCCTGTTATTTATACACATTGGGCTTCCGACCCCTGAGCCAACAGGCAAACACAGAGCTCTTGTGAGCTGTAGTTTGTCACCTCCCTATTGAGTTGCCTGACCGACATGTTGCTGTCACTTGCTTACCTGTCATTGCTGATCGCCCCATCACGGTCCACCAGGCGTACAGCTCCATGTGTCATGGCATAGGGGTTGAGAGGGGTCCAAGAGTCTTGCAAACAAGCGATCAATAGTAGCCTGAAATCGGTGTCGTCGAATTAAACATTGTAGCAGCCAGACCCTGGAGTTGACGGATCCATACGAAACACGGACGATGGAGCTGCCAAGACAGCGAGGCAGTGCTCTAAATGCAGCTGGGTCTGAGCTGGCTTCTGACCATTGGCCCAAGCTTGAGCCTTGACGTAGCGAGAGTCGAGACGGTGGATGTCAAGGCGTCTGCCTCGTGTTCGTGGCAAATGAATGCGTTTTCAACAAAGGGTCTCGTTCGACAATTGGACAGAGAGCAGCAAAGAGTGCTGATCAAGGCGGCTGGGCTTAGCTGGCATTACAGATTTCACTGAAGTCTTCGACTTGATGGCAGGAGAGGTTGATGACAAAAACATTTTGAAGGGGCCGTTCTGGCCTCGGAGACTCTCACCGCAAACACCATGGCTCCGAGGATATGACGGTGTGCATACATAGCCAACTGCTTCCAACCACTCTAGTCTCTCAGCTTTCGATCTGGATCTAGGGAACTGTGTACATTGGAAGTATTAATGAATGAATGTTCACTGCAAGGAGTGACAAAATTGAGAAAGAAAAAAATGGTGCAGCAACTTATTCCTGGTCGGAGCTTACCTACGACTGATGACTAGGCTATGCCTGTTTCATTCAGGACACGACAACCTGCCTTACTGAAGGTGTACAATTCTCGCAATGCGTCGAGATGCTAAGGAGGAAAAGTATGACCATATCGAAAGGAGGGGGAAAGAAAAAACCAGACTCGAAAATACCCAAGAATAAGCGCCGTTCAGCAAGACTGGTCGTGCAAGGCGCAAAAAATGGAGTTAGTAAGGATCGAACTCACGGCCTTCCGCAACTTCATTCAAGTTGATGCAAAGCGGACGCTCTGCCACTGAGCTATAACCCCATGAATTATGGCAATCATTGTTTTATGCATATATATATATTATCATTTCCACCAAACCGTGAAGAGGATGGTTAACACTCCATTTCGCAACAACATGCTGGGAAATCATGCCCGTGATCATAGCAATTGGATAGGACTTTTTTACTGTAAGTATTCTCATGCTCTACGAGATACATGTGTGTACCTATTGTCGCCCATCCATTGCCTTTGTTCCCCGCGCGATCTTTTGGATTTGCACTGAAGCCACCGTTGCCAATCTCGAAATTGTGAAAATAAGAAAAGATTCATCACCACCTTTTAGGCTCTATGGATCCTTGACTCACTATTATCAGTCATGGACAACTCGATTGCCTGTACGTAAAATGTCACACTGAATGTGCGAAGTCCCGAGGCTGTCGGGCTTATAATTTCTTACCTGTCTACTACAAGAATTGGAAGACAACTATTGTAGCTTGTGACGGTGAGTCCATTCTGAGACTTTCGTATTTTATTCAGGTTGAATTACCGATTGGCATCCGTAGCCACTACAAATTCCCAAGACTCGATGATCATATGTATAAAATACTCAGATAGATTTTGAGATGTGTGGACATGAACCGTACCGTAGAAACAAAAAATATCTCGAGCTTCAAATTTATCGTCTTGCTAGACATATACATTCAACGGCTATCAGTGAATTATTACAGCAATTGAGTATCACAATCTTTCAACATGTACCGATAGTTCAATCGAATGCTTACTGAATCAGTAGGGTACAAAGAGATGCTTTACAGTTCGTACCAAATAAAATTTCTAGGGTCAATCTGAAACTTTGTGAAAGGATATGGTTTGTTATTTCAGACTAGACAAAATTGCTGCTCATTGACACCCAAAACCCAATCGCGAAGTGCAAATCTAGTAAAGACGGTATTATATAATTAAAAAGAAAAATAACCCAGAAAAATCCTCCGCGACCAGAACCAATATGCGTGCATGTGTGAGATCATACTTTGTAATCAATATTGTCGAGAGATCCAGAGATCCAGAGTTTGTGCAGAGAAGTAAGCCGGACTTGTTCTGCGGTATTGAAAATGGCTATCAAAGAAAGCCTAGTAGAAGAGAAGAGCATCTAGTTGATTGCAATGCGTCTGCTCTCGTGCTTCTTAGCCTTGGGCACCGCGACGGTCAAGATGCCATTGTTCAGGTTCGCAATGACACCCTCCTGATCGACGGGCGTAGGGAAGTTGAAGGTGCGCGAGAACTCGCCGACAGAGCGCTCAGACACCCAATATCTCTCCTTTGGCTTTTGCTGCTGCTGCTGCTGCTGCTGCTCCTCTGCGGCCTTGACGACCTCGGTGCTTTGCTTCTTCGCATCCTCGGACTCCTCGTCCTCGACGGTCGCCTTGTGGGAGTTTTCACTTGCAGCGCTGCCCTTTCCGTTAGCCTCGGTGATGGCCTTGTTGTCCTTATTGATGTCGGCGGCCTCAACAAGGCCGGCTGGGGGTGTGCCCGAGGTATAAGTGCGCTCGGTGCGTCCAGAAATGACTAGCACCTGCGGCTCAGAAAACTCGATCGAGACATTCTCCTTGTCGACACCTGGCAGCTCACCGTGGAGCTCGTAGCCGGTCTCAGTCTCTTTGACGTCGAAACGAGGCGAGAAGGTAGGCAGGGCTGCGCGGCGCGATCCGGCAGCGGCGGTCTTGGTGGAGCCACCCTGTGCGGACACCTCGCGGGAGTAGTTGTCAAAGTCGTCGAGGAGACGGAAGAGAGGGGTGAAGGAGGTCTCGGGAGCAAAGTAGGTGCGTGGAAACAGAGACATTTTGGTGGATGCTGTTGTGGAGAATGGCCTATTGGTTGGTGCGAGGATTGCTGTGCTGTTGTTGATGTTGTTGTTGTGTGGGCAGGAGCGAATTGTTTGCGGGAGTCGCTTGTACAATGTTCGTGTACGATGCATAAAACTTAAGAGTGTTGATTTTGATGATGATGATTGTTGTGAACAGAATCGACAGATGGCAGGAAGTTCACGGCAGCTTTATACTCAGACAACACGATGAACAGACAGCGCTTGGGATATTCAGGAACCTCGTCGAACTGGCGAGGCGGCAACTACAATGTAATCATCACGACACTTCTAGATTCTTGTCGTCGCTCGTAGAGCATTCTACACTTTCCAAAATCTTCCTGCAGTACGACCTCTTCTGCCTGAAATTTGGGAGCAAGAGAAGGTGCTAGATGCTTGTATTGTAGCGTTTCTGGTGTTTCTGCTTACAAGCCTGAGTCTATATCGTGCTGGCACTTACGCGGGTCGACTGGAAGCTTCTAGCGTCTTGTACAGGGTTCGCACAACAAACGTCCCCCGGTGCTTCTAGTGTTTTCGAGAATGATCTCGACTACATGGCAGGACGGACAACGCTTAACGGGCATTGATACACAGCAGACTATTCAAATTACATCAAGTTGAATGCATAGATAATTCCTAGCAAGCGCTGACTTGCTTTTTGGTGTCTGGAGCAATTGATCCCCCTGGGGTAGTGCAGCGTCTGGCAGGAAGGGACCAAGGGTTAGGGTCATTGTCCAGACGAGCCACGGATGAATGTCCGTCCGCTTATGTAGCCTAAAAAGATTGACGAGCAAGCCGCACCAAAGGCTCAGCCCACACCCTTTTCAAGCCACAATGGATGCAACCAACCTATACAACTCCGCGCCCCCCTATAATAATGGTGCGTAGACTGCTTTTTTTTTTGGCCACCCAGATACCATGATACCGCTTGTGGACTATACGCCTGTGTACCGTACATAGGCCGGTAGTGTAAGTAATAAGCAAGTTGCCGTACATAAACGTTGCAACGCTGTCAACCCTGGACTTTTACACTGAACCCCACGATCGCACACCCTCATGTCGATTTGGTAGTTTGTCATAGGAAATTCCAAGAATGCCGTCCTACATAATTGTGCCACATGCCATTTTTTTGTGTTCCTTGCGTTCGTGGTCGAGAATGGTGTTACACTGCTGAGAGTGGTGTTGTCACTGCTACCGAGGAAAAAGACAAGGCCCTCTCGTGCGTTCTTCTGTAACTTTGCTTGAGGCAGAACAATGACTACGCAAGTACCTGACAGATGATGTCGGTATAGTAAATACACCTGGTAACTACTACTTTCTTCAATCCATGTATTAATATACAACCCTTAGCTCCTATCTTATGCCTTCTCACCTCGTCTATCTTAGCGAAAAGAGCAAAGAGGCGACAACAGAAAACAGAACAAATTGACTGGCTGATTGCTATCCATTCAATATCTGTCATGCATATATGCATGAATCAGGCTCAAGATCTCTGATACAGCAAGCAGCCTAGGATGTGTATCCAAGAAGGAACCAAGTAAGTACCTAGCATTACACAGCTTATACTTGCCTAATTCACATTTCACCATGTACGTTTTCATTTCCGTGTTAGGGATCGATGTTAGGGATTGAGTGGTGATCACAGCCTTTGGTGGTGAGCCTTTACTTATCTCGTACCTCCTAGCAAGAAGATGCTGCAAGATTTACCATAACAAATGCATATTACCAGCTATAAGCTGGTAATCCTTACTGACATTAATGATCGTCCTTGAGATTAAACAGAAGGTTCACTTTACCATATAATCGCAAGCCCCGAATATCTTTAAAGGATAGTACCAAGTCACAGAAAAGGCATATCCAAAGCAAAACTCACCGTTAGTATATAACTTTCATTTCTACATGCATATCTGAAATTACAATGGAAGCCTACAGAGAGTTCTCCAAGGACTAATCGCATCAAAGATCGATAAAAGTGTATAGATGAATACAATGGTACACACTCCCAGGATAAAGAAGGGGCAGAGGAGCAATAAACTCGTTAGGCTCCTGCGATTGATATTGGCTACCATCTTATTCTGAGGCTGCCAACTATGTCTTTGAATTTTGATTGTTGGCAAGAGGGTTAGATCACAGCAAGCTGAACAGTCAAGAACTTGTATAGTCAAATTGTATGAATTTGACAAATGCTTTGTTTCCTTCGTATAACGAGCATATGCCGTCGCAAAATATCAATTCTTCTCACCTCAACGGTTCCTCGTCGCCAAATAAGAGTACATTACCTCCAAAATCGAATAGCTCACCACCATTATTGAATATCACTATCACTATCGCCAAACTATTGCATTTATAAAGAAAATGAAACACACCAAGTCTCTGAATATTGTCATGCAGATTGACAGGGCGCAGCCCATCGATTAGGTATTTAAGAAAATGACAAAGAATCACCTCGTACTTCATCTAAACCCCAAGATGATCCAAACTATCCTCTCAAACAAATATAGGGTACTCAATACCCTCTGCCTTACAAACAATGAATATTTTTTTTACAAGACGATTCATGAATCGCTTCTCCAATTGTCGCTGTGAAGCCTCGGTCATCAAGACCAATAGAATGTTTCCAAGCTCAATGCATTTCTATCACGCTTTCGGGCCTAATAGCGAGACAACAAATGTCAGAATATCCAGGCACATCCTTGGCGGCTTTACAGCCACCAGAAGAAGCCAGTCACTTCGAGAAGCGAAGGAGACCCTGACTAACAAGTTACTCGAACAGCCGCCTTCAAGGGAAAGCCCGTGGATACCCCATTGGCATTGGCTGCGGTGGTAACATCATTGGATCCACGCCAATCATTGGTCCGCGAGATACTGCGCTGTTGAGGTTACGGTTGAACAAGCCAATGAGCCGGCGCCCAACGGATGGCTCCAGCTCTGTACCATCACGAGCAATCTTGACCTCTCGGTTCGAGTTCCATGGATTGCGCAAGCCTCTGCATCGATAGAACGGCAGTCTGGTTGTGCACAACCATTCCAGCTTGAATGGCTTACCCCATGCCCTGTTTTCGAGGTTGCCGTCCATCCCGCTGCTCGCATCATCAGACTCTATAGCAATTGGTGTAGCTTCATCTTGTTCTGTTCCTTCATCCGAATCCTCGCGCATCAATTCCCAGAATATAGTTCCTCG